ACTATTGCTTACTAATGACGTCATCTGCCGTGTTAATAAAAAAGAAATGAACTATTTCATTCAAATTTGATTTAGATCTACGTACACTATGAAATGTATACAATACAAGTTTTCCGGCCTAAACTCATAACATTTATTTATACAAAATCTTTGTTTGGAACTGGCTAATTTGGGATAAAAAAATTAATTTGAAAGAATAGGCATATTCGCGTAAGTTAAGATTTTAAAATACGTCTTTCATTCTCTGTATTTTATAAGGTGCCTAAATAGCGGAGATGTTAGTGTACTATAAACCACGCAGGTGGTGCGGGTTCGAGACCCACCAAGTCAACATGGTTAAAGTATTTTTTTTTTATTTTGCTCGGACTAAACTTAAAAAAAAAATTCAATTAGGATTCTAGATCTAGATCTAGATTGTCGGGTGTCCGATAAGGCACTTCCCGGCGCCGCAGGCGCTTCAAATTTGGCAGGATCTTGCCTTGGGGCGACAGAGCACGGGGGCCGGTTGGCCGAAAAGTCTACGATGAGGGGGTAAAAAATGACCTCGACTGACCGGTACCTTAAATGAGCTATAAATCGAAAAAAAATGTCCACGGAGGAACCTCTTCATAACTCTTGAGGTCGTAGACCGGGGACCGACCCTCGGGCGAATTAATTAAGCATTCAAATTCTCAATGTTTTCGAAAGCCTAAGCGAAGCTGGGCAGCATGCCTAGTATATATATATATATATATATATATATATATATATATATATATATATATATATATATATATATATATATATATATATATATGTCTGTGTGTGTGTGTATGTGTGTTTGTGTGTATGTGTGTGTATGTGCGGCATGCTGGAAAAAAATTAATTATTACACTACATGATTTTCGTTCCCTAAAACTGTACTCGACGCTAATTAAATTCCCCTTAAGATACATTATCCTTTAAAAATGATGATTAGTAAAGTCAGAAAAAAAAATTGTAGCGAAGCTAATTTGTTTAGGACAGTCTTTTTATGTTTTATCTTTGGAACAGTCTCTGTTGTGATACAGTACATATTTGGATTATAAGTTTGTTAGATTAAGGTCATACAATTGACATACAATAGCAAAAGTATTGTTCCTATTGGAATACGACATGGGTATTTCGTTGACTGGTTGATTGTATAAAGAAACAAGCAAGATGAAACAAACTGGATTCCAATGGACACAACAGCTCGAAGTCTTGGATTTATCAGATGTGCTCTGCCTTCTCACACACAGTCAACAACAAATTCAGAACTAATTGTACTGGTTGAAGAAGCTGTAATAACCGGTTTAATTATAATACCTGACGTCCGTGACGTTCAGATTAGAATCCGCAGCGATAAAATGCGTATTAACATTCTAAGTCGATGTGGAATTCAATACATTGTCAAAAAAATTCAATCAGGATCTATAGCTGAATATGATGTATCTTTTACTGTATGGCTCGGAACAAGGTTAAAGACAGCGGAAAATGAAAAGGTTCTGGTTAGGACACAATATAAGGAAGACAAAAAAAAAACATCACTATGCAGGTGCTTGTGTGAAGTCCATAGAGAAAGTGGAAGAGAAAAAGAGGTTCGGTAATTCAGTTTCAGGGCTTCCGCGTAGGTCAAGACACACAGCCGACTCATATGATTCACGATCGGATTTTGTCAACTTTTTTTTATGTAACACAATCGTAAAATACTCTTTAGTTCAATGGGTTTCTTTTCTGAGTAATATCGGTTATTTATTCCTTAATCCGGGGTGAATTTTTCCGATTTCAGTTTCCGAAAAAACGCCCCCTCCCCCATTTAGGAAAGCTGGAAAGCGTTTTTACCGGTCACTGTATCTTAAGGATATATGTTTTACAGTTACACAATCAAGGTAGAAAACAGCTAAATCAGTATGCTAAGGCTCTCAGCCGTTAAATTTCTTTACTTTGACTGTTTATTATTCAAAACTGCAGCTTAACATGAGCTTTTAAATTGTTTTTTTTACCCCTTTTGGCGCCCCCCTAGGGTCGGCGCCCGGGGCGGCCGCCCTCCCCGTCCTCCCCTAGCTACGCCTCTGAGTATACAATAGTCTAACTTTGTTCGCTTCGTTTACTTTTAAAATAATGTGTACAAATAGTTTAACTTAGTTTAGTTTAAGTTTACCGGCTACACGAAAATAGTAAATGGTAATTATAGTAGATCATAATAAAACTGTATTAAAATCAAGATAGTCAGTACGGAATAATGTTAAGGTCCGCATAATAAACGTTTTTATGTTTTGTAACACCGATTAAACATATAAAATTTAACCTGAATCCAGATTGCTTTTATACGGCGAATAAGGCGACAAGGATGTAAAAAACGAGTCAGAGGTAACCCCACCAGGTAGTGTTCTTAGGTGTAGTGTGTAGTAGGTCACGCGTTACGTCACTTGAAACATTATCTTTCAGTCCCCTGTCTACACATTTTAAACCAGCTTATCTGTCGGGTGAAATCACTTTTGAAATTATATTTATACGGCACATATTATAATAGTAAACATACAATTAAATTTATATTAACAAATTAAATTTTAAGTATTTTCGACATTCTCTAAAAATTCTCATACATTGCAAATGACAAATAAAAATATACATACAATCATTCTGAAAGGTTTTAAGTCCAATAAGAATGTATGTTTTTAATGCTATGTGTGATCTTTCAATGTAAAACCCTTTTAGGAGATAGACACAGCCCAAAGTAATAAAAATCACTTGCTAGATAGGCCAAAGCACGCTAATAAAATAATGTTATTGACGCGGAATAAAATAATTCTTCTTAACACAATGCTTTATGGTTTTAATAATATAGATATCTATTAAGACTCTCAAAGGAAAAGCCGAAACCAAACGCCTATTCTCTCTCTTATAATTATATACATTAAAAATCGATGATGTATTATTTTGTATTTAAAATTTTGTATTTATTTTTGTATTTAAAGAATGCGCATGCCGATAAGGACATAACCGAACTGACCTGTTCACTGTGAACTATAATTGGGTGATAAGTGATGTTAGGGAAGGGCTCTACTTGTTGAAAAATAAACTATTGTATTTACCCCAAGAAACTTACGTGTGATCTAGTGGCCTTAAGAGAAACACTGTGAGCAATATCAAAGTAAAGAAAACGATGACATGGCTACAGCGGTCTCTTCGACCACCATTTTAAACAACTACCATTCTAGTGCTTTTATAAGTAAAATCAAGGGATATGAGGTAGTTAAACTGGATGAAATAGAATTTAACCTGTGAGAATTTGTTTTTTACATCCTTTGCTAAAATAATCTTACTACACTACACACCTAATGTTTATTAATTTATATTTAATTTATTATTAAAGTAAGCAATTACAAATTAATAGTACCATAATTTTTATGTTATACAAATATAAATGTTGATTACATTTTTAAATGCAGTGGTCGTATTAATCTTTATAGGGCATTTTAACTACAAATATATATTAATACAAGAATAAAATTAACAAAAATGTTAATATTTAAAGTTTAACGCTTTGATTTGTGTAAAAAGTAAGCATGTGTTTTTTATCCCTGATTAAACTAAGATTTCACATTAAAATTCATTTCATGTAAACAATTAGAAAGCCAGAAGTACGTGTACATACACTTTTAGCACTTGAAAAAAAAAGACAAACCTTGTCAAAATCTATATAGAAACGTATTATTACATTAACTACGGCCACTAAATATATTACCAGAATATTTTAACGATACATTTTTAAAGCCTTACAAAAAAAAGAAGCGACTATTCCTGCGTCTTTTCACCAATAGCTATTGTGACTGAAATACTGGTTTAAAGTACAACATAAAGAGTACAAGTCATAAACACTGAGCCATAAACCAAAGGCTGGCAATAAATTGGGGAATCCCCTTTGAGAAATGCAAAATACTTTTGCAAATGCAAAGCGATATGAATAATGATTATCAAGGCTGTCGCTTAGAGTAAACAAAAACAAAACTATATATATATATATATATATATATATATATATATATATATATATATATATATATATATATATATATATACATTATATATATATCGTGACAGGACACATGGTCTCAGGCAAAATATCTCAGACAAAATATCTCACAGACAAATGATATCAGGACATTGGATGTAGCATTGTTCTCTCTACACTTTGCTCGTTTACGTCTTGGCGTAACCACCATCCCCTTGTAATAATTGTCTATTTTTACTAAAAAAAACTATTTTACTTTAATAAATGATTAATGAAACTGGTAAAAAAATATTTTCTTCTGGAAATTTTACAATTATTTTGCCTTGGTGTCACCCGCCTTCACCACTTCTCCCGCTAAACGGTGAGTCCCCCCCCCCCCCCCCGCCCCGCACTGGCTACGCTTCAGGCATCAGTTTCTGTTCTTAGACCCTGATCTCTCGCCCAGTTACTTTAGGACTCATTTATATCGTCGATGTAAGATAGTAGAGGGGGGGGAGGCGCGGTCACATTGACGTCAAGTTTTGTGGATGGGGGAGGGGTAGGTTGGCTAAGCAGTAATTTTCACACACCAGATACAGCATTCGTGTACTGGTGCTACACAATAAAAACAATTTCTATGTATATGTTAATCATCAAAACACCGTATTAGTTTATTAAACTGATTCATTGCCTTACAAAATCTGTTTTGTTGAATTTATGTTTTCATTTATTTATCCCATTGTTTTGGCTGACTGAATAAAATTTATTTTTTAGTTGTCCACGCATTCATTGGAAATAATGAATACAAACATAATTATGTTAAGTATTTAACTGGAAAAACATTTGAACATATTCTAACAAATATTGTTAATGTTGCTGGAACTTACATTTAATTATTATTGAAAAAACTTATTATTATTAAAAATATAAAAATATGTATAATATATAAATAAATACATATAATATATTAGTCAAAAAAAAAGATTATGACTCCACATTACAGTGTTCAAAAATGCGGAGAAAAGTTCAAAGGAATGGCGTAAATATTGCATTATTAGCAATGCTTGATGAAGCTGTTTGAATTTTTTTTAGAAATTGAATCATTATACAGCATTGCGTATTATCTGATCACATGATATTAGGTGATGGCCTGATTAAATATTTTCTGCCTTAGATAGGCTTCAATAATAACATAAGAACTCATGCGCTAACTTCCCACTTGTAGCAAAAAAGTTACAGGAAAAAAGTCACAATTATATATTTGCATGGAATTTGTTAATACTTTTAAGTGTTAATAATTAGCGAGTACAAATCTACTTAGATTAATTTACTGTATTGTCGTGTACGTAGGTTGTATATGTATAGAAATATGTATAGCAAACTTAAACATATATAGTAAGAAGTGTGTAGGCTTTACTTCCACTACATATGATATTTAATAAAACCTGATAGAATGGTCCAGCCTTTTCCGTTTTCATCGTGTCTTTTGATTTAGCATGAAATGGCATAAGACGTTGCTAATCTGACTTGCTGCCCTCAACTAACTACAACAATACCTCAACCGCGTTTTCTGAACACATTCTTCACGCTTATTACGTAACAAAGCATGGTATTCAAACAGAAAGCCGACGGGGTACAATGGCTAGCTTTGTCGCAAAACGTCAACAACACACAATATGGATGGACAAGGCTGACTGAGGAGAAGACCATCAAGGATATGCCACGGCAAAAACAAATATGCAAAACACAATGATGAGCCACATTTTCTTTTGTAATTAGTTTTTCTACCGCGTATTTAACTAAATACGTTACTAACGTTGAGGTTGCTGTGTAAATTACTTCATATTAGTTTTACGTATTAAAGTTATAAACCATAATGATTTTACGTGTATAAATATGCTACTAAAAAAGAAACAACCCACAAGAATAAACACCTAAAATTTTACAATTCTTAACCATACAATCAACATATTTCTTTTAAGATTTTGAGACTTTATTTTTGTGGCTTTATTTCTGTGAATTTTTTTCCGATACATTTTTTCCTTTGGGACTTTTTTCTGTGCCTTTTTTTCCTAGCAAAACCTGACTTTTTCTGTGTTTTTTTCCTGTGACTTTTTCTTTGGTGTGACTTTTCACCCCGGTCATTTAAAAAAGAAGACTACTTGGTACAAAACATGCAAAATATTATTTTTCTTTTTTCTTTCTTGAATTTCCAATAATTAATGTCATAATATTCACCTAGCATAGATACAGTGAATAAGATAATAATAGACAAGTCAAGTAGTAGTAGTAGTAATAAATATATAAATTTATTCGGTAATAATAATCTTTATAGTCCAAACATTGCATATGCAATCACTGAATTTTTGTGATTAGATTGTATCCTTGAATTTAGTCTAAGGCGTTCAACTTGCTTTTTTTCTTTACAGAATCATGCCAAGACAATGCCAGCGCAAGACAACATGAGTAATATTTAAGAAGCATGCCATTGAGATTGCAGTTGCAGCCCATTTTGAAGGAAAGTCGCTCCGTAAAGCTGCATCCGACTGTGGGGTTGATTATAAGACCCTACAATGCTATGTGAAGCTGCACAAAACAGACTTCAACATTGAGAAGGCAACTTTTGGCTACAGTACGTAGAAGAAGCGCATCTTCTCAGATGAGCAAGAACAAGTTTAGCTGGACTACATCATTGAAGCCTCTTCAATATACTGTGGCCTAACTCTGAGAGAATTACGCAAACTAGCCTACGAAGTTGCTGTCTCCAACAAACTTGCCATGCCTGAATCCTGGTCCTCTGCGAAAACTGCAGGAGAGGATTGGCTGAAGGCATTCAGGCAACGTCACAATGACAAGCTATCTCTTCGAAGTCCGGAGGCAAAATAACTCAATCGCGTACAGACATTCAACAAAACGAACGTCAACTTGTTCTTCGATAATCTGGAGAAAGTGATGAGGAAACATAAGTTTCGGTCAAAATGCATTTGGAACATTGACGAAACTGGGTGTTTCATTGTACAAACGTCTCAGGGACAACTTGCAAATAATGGTGAAAAACGTTTGGGCTCCATCGTGTCACATGAGAAAGGGAGCAGCGTCACACTATGGGGAGCGGTAAAATCCATCGGAAATAGCATGCCACTATTCCTGATCTTCCCCCGAGTCAATGTTCAAGATCACTGGAATATAGGTGCCCAACCAGGAACTCGATGCGATTCTCACACAAAGGCATCCGAATGGGTGACGTCTGAGAACTTCATTACATTTCTTCAGCATTTTGCCCTACATGCGAAGCCGTCAAAAGAAAGTCCAGTGTTGATGATTTTGGACAATTATGAGTCCCACTGTAGTGAAGCTGCAATTACCTTTTGTAGAGAAAAGGTATAGGAAAGGATAGTATCGTAGGCAATATGCCCAGAAGCCTTTAAAATAACATGAGGTACCCATCAGGTGGAGGGTGGATTTAGTTATTTTTTACTGATTTGAACCCTGATTCGAACTCGAGTACAAATAGAATAGCATAAGTAAAATAGCGCAGTACCGCTAGACCACACTGCCGCATGCATCTGAGAAGTATGTGCTAACATTTAATATTTATTGATATAAAAAAACATTGTACAGTAAAACCATTAAAAATAAATTAGTTAAAATTAATTCATTATGTGAAATGCCAAAAGATTATTATTTGAATGCATCTTAAAATGAACAAATCTATACTCTAAAGAAAAAGTTAATTTTTCATTGCATTTTTTAAAAGCAATATGTTATATTATATAATATATAAAATATTTTTAAAAGAAAAACAAAAAAAAGAGTCACCCATGTAAAACTACGATAAAATTAAAACTTTTAAATATTTCTGTGTATTTCAATTAAAAGAGCTTACCTTATTACAATAATATTTGTTTAAGAAAATAGGACATTTACAAAATAAATAACAGGAAAACTAATCATTCCGCTTATCGTTTCTACATATAACTGACATGTTGCCTGTACACAGTGTAACAAGTGGTAACAAATTAATAAAAATAAATCCTTTATATTCAGCTAAACTCAACGTCTTACTTAATTTTAAATAATAATTTATGTCGTGTCTTTTCTTTCTTTTATATTGTAAACACGTATTTTAGCTATGATTCTAATATATCGTAAAATATACTTGTTATTAATGATTTATGCTGTTTTTTCAAATAATTTTAATCAGATATAGAAGCTGGGCCAAGCAGAAAACGATCAGACTGCAGTAATTGCTTAGCTGAAGGTCTCTCTTGAGGATCCATGATGAAAGTTTTATCCAAAAATTCTTTTAGTTCTTCAGACGAGTTTGGCGGAAGTTTATACGATGGCTTTTGTAGAGTAGCCAGCTTATAGACATGCTGCTCATTTCGAAGGGAATTGTCTGGTCGCTTTTGCGTTAGCATTTGAACGACCGTACACCCAACACTCCTGTGGTAAAGAAAGGTTAAATGTAATCTCATGTTTGATGTTGACGTAACAACATTACACATATTACATTTTGTAACGCAAGTGTAAACAGTAAAAATGCAACTCAAAGTCATAATGTTATATAAAGTTAAATAAAGTTTTGAATTTTTGTCTCATTAACCAAAATGATCACATCTTTTATTTAAAGTTACAAATATTTTTTTGTTTCTGTATATTTAGATTCAAATATATCATACACCTAATATTCTGCTAGTTTTTGTATTATTTGGAGAGGTAATTTAATATAAACAGTAAATAAAGGCGTTGGTATTATTTATTATTTTTTTCTAACGTTAGTTAACTCTTAAAACGTCATATTGGTAATAGAATAATCCAAAGTAGTTACCAAATGTCAGCTTTGGAATAGAACTCTAATTTTAAGTCGCCTGCTAACACTTCAGGTGCTGTGTACCCAGGTGTACCACAACCGTTTATGGCCTGGAGATCATGCTCTTTTGCAATAAATTTTGAAAGCCCAAAATCAGCAATTTTTATGCTATTTTTATTCTCAATTAAAATGTTAGTGCCTGAAATTCAAAATATAATGTTTTAAAAAAAATTAAGTCTTTCATTTTAAACTAAGTGCACAGGACTATTGCTAAAAATACAACATATAATATATGTTTAGTAGAGAGAGAAAGTTATTTCTGATAAAGAAAGGTTTAAGTTATTTTAGAAACAACTAATTTCGAATTGTAATACTGTGTAAACAATTACTGTAAATGGCATATTTGACTTAGATTCAATGTGAAAACACTATTGTTCTTATTTAAGAAGTATTAGTTTTTCCGAACATTCGACATTCTAATTAAATCAAAAAGAAAAAAATATATAACCTTTAATATCTAGATGTAGTATTTTATTTTGATGTAGATATTCTAAGCCTTCCAGTATCTGTTTTGTAAATTTACGTGTCGTTTTTTCATCTAGACCGTTTTTCTTCTTTATATAGGTTGCTAGGGTTCCCTATATATGCGATAGAACGAGTTTATACAATCCTAATATAAAAACAAATGTCATAAAAAACGTTTTAATAACAATATATATATATATATATATATATATATATATATATATATATATATATATATATATATATATATATATATATATATATATATATATATATATATATATATATATATATATATATATATATATATATATGTATATGTATATATATATATATATATATATATATATATATATATATATATATATATATATATATATATATATATATATATATATATATATATATATTGTATGTAATTATTTGAAAGAATAAACATAATTTAAATAAATTTGAATACTACTAACCTTAGGCATATATTCTAAGAATATAATAATTGACATATCCTTTATTTGATATCCATGAAACTGTATTATATTTTTATGCCTTGCCTTTAATAAAAGTTCTGCCTCTGACAAAAAATTTCCCTAAAAATATTGCATTTCATGAGTTATATCAATCAAAAAAGCAATGTAACCATGTATTACTATATTATATACTAATTGTGCAAAGCACTTTTAAAAAAAATATAAATGGTATGCCGTAAATATATAAGGTAATCAGAGGCGTAGCTTAGGGGGGAGGTGCATCCGCACAAGACGCCTATTGAAGAAGGTTGTTCCGAAAGGTGTAGAAAAAAAATTAAAAGCTCAATTTAAGCAGTAGTTTTGAATTTAAAAATTCAAAGTAAAATATTTAAAATGCTACAAGCCATTACAAGAGGATTAATCTGCATTTACCTAGACTGTGTTACTGTAAATAAATATCCTTTAAAAAATCAACCGGCAAAACATTAACACTTAAAAAACAAACCAACTGTATTAAATCGTAATATATAAAAGTAAAAACAAAACGGGGGGAGGAAGGGGGGGGGGGGGCTTTTTCTCAAAGGTATATGGTAATGTTTAACACCGAAATGGAGAGTAGATAAAGAAATAAAAAATTAGGATAAAAACCAGTATTATTAACGTATAATGTACGACTTAACTAGCCAGATGTTTTAAAGAAATCAAGCGACTATTTCTTTCTGTGATTCCTACTATTATCTCACTTTCAACGTGAGAGATCATTTGTTTGTGAGATATTTTGTCTGAGATATTTTGTCTGAGATCATTTTTCCTGTCACCATATATATATATATATATATATATATATATATATATATATATATATATATATATATATATATATATATATATATATATATATATATATATATATATATATACTTACAATTGCATCTTGTTTTGCTTCTTTAATCCAAATTTTTTTTGCAACAAATCTTTTTTCATCCGGTTTCTCCAAATCTGTAACAAGGTACACAGTTCCAAATGATCCTCTGTCGAGTTGATCTTTGATTTCAAAATTTTGAGGAAAATCTTGTGAGTATACATCGGGTGTGCCTTAAAAACAGTATTACCACTTCTAAGTTGTTTAATAAATCGACTGCTACGACTGCTAATATCATATTTGCATTTTAACAAGTTTGTTGGAACTTACATTTGTTAAGTATGTAACTTTGTTTAAAAAGCATAATAATTAAGTATACATGTCAATTAAACAATTCAGTGAATATCTAATTTAAACATGAAATGTTTACATTTATTTATTTGTTAATTTTCAACTCTTTTTTTTTTTTCACTTTAATAATACATCAATCCTGTTGTCGAGTTAAAATGAATTTAAATGTATCCACTTTTTCTAGGAAATTAAACGAAAATGATATTTGACATTGATCCTTTTAAAATGTTTTAGAAATGTGCGTGTATCTAATATTTTCTTTACGTTATGCAAAAGAGTAAAAACAGTGGAAGGAAGGACTATCTTCTTCTTCTTCTTCGTTCTTAATTGAGAATAGGGTGAAGGATTTAGACAACAAGCCCAAACTTCGTGTATGAACTGGAAAGTGGTCTCCAGTTCATCAGGTGCCCCATATAATTTTTCATTGAGTAGGGTGAGTAGGGGCCAGTGTTTTGATCGCGCCTGGCTATAAAGAGAACATTCTTGAAGGACGTGCTCGGTATTCTCCTGGGCCTTGCCACAAGGGCATATTTCGCCACACTCAATTTTTAGTTTTTTATGCATGTGCTCATTTAGTCTGTTGTGGCCTGTTCTGAGTCGATTGTGTTGTAGATTTCGTGTCAAATTGTAATATCCATCATCATTTTTGTAGTGAGGGTGTGTGTCAGATCACATTTGTGTTTTTTTTTTAAATTATTCTTTTATTTCTTTTGGATATAGCGAAATTTCTGGTTGTTTTTTCTTTCCCCCAATTTTTGCCAGCTGGTCCGCAATCTCATTACCCTGGATCTGGCAGTGGCCCGGGATCCACTGCAGCACAATTCTGCTGCAGGTATATTTAGCCTTTCTAGTGCTGTCCTAAGTGATTGAGTATAGGACTCTGGATTTTTTAGGGATTGCAGGACAGATTTAGCATCTGTAAGAAATACAATCTGACTATTTGGAGATTCAGGGTGTTCTAGCAGGAGGTTTGCTGCATGCTCTAAAGCTTCTTTCTTTGCTATAAAATTGTCCGATAGGCTGCCTGTGTCTATTGACTTTTCCAGGCTTTCTCCGCTTGGCCATTCAATAAGGACGCCAGCCACTCCATTTTTTGTGGCATCTTCAGCTGAGCCATCTGTGAAAACTCTAATCCAGGTATTGATGGGGTACTGATCCTTGAAGTGCTTATTGGTTAATTTCTTTAGTTCTTCTTGATCAAGTCTGATCTTTTTCTATGGTGTCTATTGAGTCACTAATGGTTTTTTACATGACAGTGGGAGATCCACGGCGCGGAGAGGTTTTGGGTTTTGATTGTTTCAAGATTTATGTTATTACGCTTTTTAAAAACTAATTTAGGCACCATAGTGCTCATAAGAGAGCCAAACTAGGTGCCAAACTGTGTTTTGACGAATGTCGAACCTTCGTGGGCGCCGAATTCAGAAATTTTAATTTTCATTTCGCATACACCTTCTCCGGCGTATTCTTATCAACTCCCCGAAGTTTCCTGACACTCGAAAGAACGGTGTTAAACAGCATCCTGTATTAAAAAAAAATGTGCGCCCTCCCGAGGCGCTGCCATTACGAAGTACATTTTTTTCAGAATTATTCACAACTTCCAAAACTTTCAAGGCGAACAGATGAAATGTGTAGTAATACATAAAAGACAAATACATACACATACATTGATATATATATATATATATATATATATATATATATATATATATATATATATATATATATACTTATATATATATTACTTATTTGTACATATATAGAGAGAGTGTGAGTAAGGTGGGTAAGTAAGAGAGAGAGAGAGAGATAGAGAGAGAGAGATAGACAGAGAAATACAGAGATAGAGATGGGGAAAGTCAAATAAAGAAACATGGCAAATAAATAAATGAATTGTTGATATTTTAAGGAAATACCTGGGATAGAAGCAGCATTTCCACTAGCTCGACACGTGTTCCAGTTTATAACTCTGGCGTCACTACCAGTCTGTGTGTTACTTGATAGAAACAAGTTTACGCCTTTGAGTAGATCTTGGTCCTGCGCTATTGCCTGGCTTGCTTCATCATTTGTGGAAATAACTTTTAAAAGGCTTATTACAAGCTCTTGCAAACCCAGAGTGCCTTCCAGAAACGTTTCCGTAAAAATCGAAAACAGGCCGACAAACTAGACAAAAGTATGCATTAAAAATGCAACAATCTAATAAAAGCTGAAAGTAAAGCCTTTAAAATTGTGACATCTAAAACACAATGTATATTACTCACCATTGGCTTTGACGATTCATACTTTTCTGCCACTAATCGCAAACTTCGGAGCCAATCGGCTGCCAAATTGTCCACAGTCAGAGTATTTTCCGAAGTACTTAGAAGAGTTGTGATGTCGCTATCTAAAATGGTCGTCAAACAAAGCATATAACAGCGTGAAATGCAATGCAATGCAACACAACACAACACAACACAGCACAACACAACACAACACAACACAACACAACGCAACGCAACGCAACGAAGTGCAATGCAATGCAATGCAATGCAATGCAATGCAATGCAATGCAATGCAATGCAATGCAATGCAATGCAATGCAATGCAATGCAATGCAATGCAATGCAATGCAATGCAATGCAATGCAATGCAATGCAATGCAATGCAATGCAATGCAACGCTACGCAACGCAATGTAACGCAACGAATCTCAACGCAAAAAAAAACGCAACGCTACGCATCGCAATACAATACAATACAACACATTACAAATCAATACAATAGAAGTGTAATTGAAAAAAAACAAAATTTCTACCGCTTAAGTCTGGAAGATCGCTTGCTTGATTACTAATCAACGAAATTATCATAATTATTTCTTTCTTGAAATTTGATGTCGGAAAACGCTTTCTTAAAATCTGTAATATATTATTACTTGATTAATATAACATTAGTACAAAATATAGCAATTTGTAATACATATCTCGAAATATTTTAATAATACAACTTATTATTTATTAAAGCTCGTTTATCTCTATTTTTATTTGTTCTTAATTATAAACTGCAAATAGTTATTGCTTATTTCATTCATTTTGGGTCGAACCCTGCTAGATGAATATCAAATTCTTCTACTTTACAAGTTATTCAAAATTATAAAAGTGAAATTAAGACCTGATGACTTAAATTGCTTCAATACTAGTTAGAGCAGTTCATTCTAAGCATTAGGCCTAAAGATAATGGCAATACATGAAAGGAATTATCAATTACCTCAAGACTCTGGCATTTAATAAAATATTGTTTATTCTCGTCGTAATGTGATGTGTTCCGCAATATTTCTAAAATTAATTGTATAAAATGTTCTGTCACCTATAAGCAAAAGTAATTGAGAATTATTATTCTAATTAAAAAATTGATACGGTTATAATTTAGAATATTTTAATATTTTCAAAAATAAATATTTGTTTAGTCAATAATGATAGTAATAATTTTTAAAAAATGCTTTTATAAAATAACTTTAAACCGAACACAATTAACTTATGACCATATTGAACTTCTTTAGAATATGATTACCTTAAACTCAAAATTAGTGGGTCTATTTTTAGTACTGCGTGTATTTGTTCTATATTGTTTTAATAGAAGAGTAACCAGTCCATTCTCTGCGAAACTCTGTAAGTTTAGTCAAATTAAAATAATTAGACAGTCATATACCAATATAAACGAAAATCGAGTATAAACATGATAAACAAATGCAGCTAAAAATTACCTTCCCATTTCAATTACAGTATTGTAAATATAACATGAAATGCATTACTATCATATACCAAAGCGACATCATCAATAAAATTGTAGAGGAAGAATTGTAGTTCGTTTTTACTCTCTATGAAGAATTTGATAACAACATTTACTTCTATTAATGTAAAATCTGTAATTAATGTAATAACGTAAAAGTATGTTTTTTTTGTATTATACACCAGGGTTTCTTTTATGCATTTTCCTCGATGTTGGCACATAAAACGTGGTGTGGGGGGACAAAATTAGAATTACCGCCGGGCGGACGCAGGTTGAAGTATAGATTTGTTATATAAATAGCATATTTTTGCATTTCGTCTAAGAAATGCCTGAAATAATCTCTAGTATAAACTGATTTTATTTTATAACATATACACTATGTACATACACTATTAGAATCTATATCTTAAGATTATTATATTAATATTGTTAGAATAACTATATTACGATTATTACACGTTTTTTACAAACTTGAACGTTTTACATACTGAAAACTACTCCATTTATTTTGAACTCATTGTGATTCTCAAATACCATATTCTGGTAAGTTATTTGTATACAAATATACATTTTCCACAAAAAGGAAAATCATTGCAGCATAGGTCGTTTACGTTGTTTGTTTTTTTCGGGTTGAGCTTTTGGTGTATGATAAGTCGTACCTTCTCGGCAAGATTTTTAAAAAATTAATACTATTTGCACATTTATTTTAGTTCAAATTATTTTCTTACCATTGCTGCATCTTTACTTAATACTACAAGCTGCAGGATTGCTTGTAAAGTATTATGGATAATCGGCAGCGAAGAATTTTCTGCGAAAATATCGAGTAGTTTGTGTTCTTGAAGATGCAGTACAGTTAGTTCTGAAAGTTAATGTAATAAAATAGAATACTACATCAATTTATTTAACAATATAAATGTATCTATAGCTATACTTAATATATATATATATATATATATATATATATATATAAATATATATATATATATGTATATATATATATATATGTATATATATATATATATATATATATATATATATATATATATATATATATATATATATATATATATATATATATATATAAGGGATATTTAATGAATAAGTAGTTAAATACATTTCACAATGTATAAGATTCATATTAGTAAGAGTTTTGAAAATGAACGTCTCAAAACACTTTTCGTATTAAACTGAAATATTTAATGAAAGGTTAAGTAGTTAAAAACTAGGGCCTACATATTGATCACCGATGAATAGTGACTTTGTGAATGAATAATCCAAAGATTAAAGAGTAAAATTAAGCACAAACCAATTTGTACACAAACATTCGAATATTCATTGTTTGTATTTATTGTTTTTAGAGAAAAATAAAATCAGATAATCAGATAATAACAGCTATTAAAATTAACTTTGCGAAAATATATATATATATATATATATATATATATATATATATATATATATATATATATATATATATATATATATATATATATATATATATATATATATATATATATATATATATATATATATATATATATATATATATTAGATTATATAAAATACCTGTATATGATTTTAAAGTAGAATCAACAATATTAGCAGCTGAGTCTGCGGTTAGAAATGTTGCAATCACATGTAAACATTTCTGATGCACATAGAACTGAAAAGGTTCAAATGTTTTCATCGCGGCATATTCATCCATGACAGTTGAAATATAATTTTGTATTTCTTCTGGTGATGGTGAGTTCGATTTCTAGATTAAAAATCAATCAAAACCTCTTCTTAAAATATAAAATTAATTTAATGTGTGTAGTAGAATATAATATGTTATAACAGGACATTATTTTATCAATACTTCAATTATAGTAAAAATCTATATCTTGACAACTGAAGACAAAATAAAAAGGACATATGTACACATTACTAAACAAGTTACCGTCTTGTTACTATTAATTTCTACCTAATTATTGTCATATACTTTAATCAGAGGAAACTACCATTTGGTTTTGGACAAATTAATTTAGCATCGCTGAAAGCCACAAAAAAGTTTGTAGATATTGAACATTTTGAAAATCGACATTGTTAATCCTTAACTTACGCCTATTGGAATTAAGTTATATGTATATATGTGTCTGAGGCGTAGCTACTTATTCAGGTGTTTGGAGCTAAATACCATCTAATGCGCCCCCCTCCCCCTTTCCTCTCATTATTACTTCGGCAATTTTCACAGTCACTATCCGGTATAGCTTTTTAGCTTCGATGCAACACAAGCGATGTAAAAATCAGTTAAATCAATGAGTAAAGCAATGCAGCCTTTCACTTTCTTAACTTTGAATGTGTATAAATCATTGCTACAGCTTAAAATAGCATTTTAATTTTTTTTCCTACTCCTTTTGGCACCCCCTTAGGGTTAGCTCCCAGGGCGGCTGCCCCACCCGACCTCCCCTAGCTACGCCATTGATGCGTGTGCGGAAATATCCCCTCTCTCAAACCATAGTAATGTCTTCTCCAGCGAAGGCAATAAAATTATTAAAACACACTGATGATGTAGCATTTAACAAACAATTATAATTAGTTTACAGTTCTAACCGTGTCAGTCTTTGCACTTTTTAAACTGCGAAGACAGATCAATGACCTGAAATGGAAGTTTTTTATTTTATTATTTTAATGTATTTTTAATTATAATTTTTTTAAAAACATATCTCATTAGGCTTGCGTAGTAATGAAAATTCCACCTACCCTTTAATCTTTTCATAGCTCAAAATTTTTGGATTGATTGTGGAAGTTGAGCAATGTGGTAGTTTTTCTACGTATCAATGAAGAAAATATTATTAGCCGACAACATTTAATATTTGTAATTGATAATATACGTAATTCTATTTATTCGATAACACAATAAAATTCAGATATAACTCACCATCATATTTTATTATACGGGTTCTTATCGTCTCAAAACTATATTCGCTTTCAATGGCAAAATAAAGGTAAATCCAAAAACAAAAGTTCCTCTTTTCGAGGAGATTGTGATAGAAACTTTGCTCCAACACAACAAAGTGCATATTATCAGCTAAATAAAATAACGTGCTCATTTGATTTTCATTAAATAACAAATTACATTTGCAAGATATTATGTCAATCATTAATGACACCTTATTTTTTTCAAAGTTCAATGACATTATTTCTATGTGTTTAGGCTGATCAGATTGTGATGGACTTACAGCATTATACATTGGTGTCTTGTCTATTGGTAAAATGTCTGCAGGTGGTATTAAGAAAGCTAATCGGTTTGCCTTAGCTTTAGAATTTCTAGAACCTTTTTTAAGATATTTTTCATTTGGTCGTTTTGCAACAGATCTCTTTAAAATTGCTTGCAAAATTATAAATGTGTCTTTTTTAGCTGCCACAAGCAATAGATATGAAAACAATGAGTTATTTCGACTATAATTTTGGATTTTGTCTGAATTTAGTAACATCTCTACTATTTCTGAACTCTCTTTCTCTATAGCAAATAACAGAGATAATTCACATTTTGCTCTATTTTTTATTAAATACTTGGCTATTTCTAGATGACTTTTCATGACTGCTATTGACAAAGCACTATAGCGGTGTTTATTAATTTTGTCGACCTCTGCCCCATTTTGAACTAACAGCTTTACCACATCGAGATGGTTATGTGCGGTGGCAAGGCCTAAAGCGGTGTGATCTTCAGTATTCACTGTATTTATTTCAGGCTTGTATTTGAGTATTTCACGTACAACCTCAACACGACCGAGCTGTGAAGCGATCATCAGAGCAGTGTTTCCATAGTTGTCACATTTATTGACGGGGCAATTATGTTCCAGCAACATTTTTGTTATTTCATGTGACCCCTTTCCAGCAGCTAAATGTAAGGCCGTTCCTTCAGATTTTGATGAAACATTACAGTCAGCTGACATACTCAAAAGAAAAGCTACCGTGTCAACTCGACCATTATACGAAGCGTCCATTAATGCTGTATATCCGTTACTGTCCTGAAAATTCATTATACTCTCTTTGAATTTTTTTGACTGACAAATTTTCTCAACGATTTCTGTGTGTCCATCAATAGAAGCTAACGTCAAGGCGGTTAGGCGTTGTTTGATTTCAAACAAATCAATCTTTGCGCCTTTTTCAAGTAACTGTGTAACAATGTTACTAAAACCCCGATTCGACGCTAACATGAGAGGACTTACGCCATTGTTAAGAACACAGTTACAGTTAACATCATTTCTTAACAAAAGCTCAACTATGTTGTCGTGCCCAAAGAAACAAGCGAGAAGTAAAGCATTTACTCCATGTTTGGCTTTAGCTTCCAAATCACATTTTTTCTCTATCAGCATTTCAACAATCTCTGTCATGCCATTCTCAACAGCCATATGTAAAGCAGTGAAATCCATTTCGTTTTTCAAATTTACATTGCTAAGCGCGGTAATCAACAGCTTGGCAATTTCAGAATTCCCGTAAAAGCAAGCAATCATTAAACTAGTATTCCCGTCTTCGTCTTTAACATTTACATCAATTTTTGGTAATAATAAAACTTTTACAACTTCTGTAAAATCCAATTGTGTTGCCAATATTAATGCTGGAATTTTTATGGAAGTATCTTTGTCAAATGTTGCATCTGTTTCTGCATTTTTAAGAAAATGTTTCAATTCTTCAACTTGTTTTAGAATCTTAACAACTGACATTGGTTCACGATAAACAGCATCGGCCACCAAATCTAATATTCGCCCAAAAGCCAGCTCTTGCAGCTCTAAATTTCTCGAATGGCTAAAAGATGGCATTGGAATACCTCCGTCATAATCAGCACCCTGTTTAATTAATAGCTCAACAACTTCGGCGTGTCCAGCCTTAACTGCCAACACAAAAGCATTTTCTCCTTTATTATTTGTTGTGTTAATACTAGCGCCTTTACTTATTAGTGCTTGGACAATGTCAGAGAATCCATTTTGTGCCGCATAAATTAATGCGTTGTATCCATTTTCATCTACAATAGTGTAATCAGCTTGGTTATCTAAGAGTGATTTCACAATGCGAACATTTCTATTTTCTGCAGCGATGATAAGACAGCTTTTATTAATGTCATTTACCATGTTGCAGTCAGCATTATGTTTAATTAACAAATCCACAACATCCTCAAATCCACCTAAAGCAGCCAACATTAATGCAGTTAGTCCGCTTTTACATTTTACATTTACGTCAACCTCGTATCCTAGTAGAACTTCGACTGTTTTAGCATGTCCCATAGCAGAAGCTAGCATTAAAGCGCTGATGCCATCTGAGTTAATGAAATTATAATTTGTTTTTCGGCGTATTAACAAATCAACAACATAATAGTGATTGTTAAATGTCGCCATCATTATCGCATTGAGTCCATTGCTTGTTAAGGCATTGCAGTCAGAGCCCTGATCAAGAAGAATTTTAATCTGGTCAATTTGGCCTCTGTATGATGCCTGCATAAGCGGCGTTAACACATAATTGTCGGTGTTGTCAATTTCGTTTTTAAATTCCAATATAAATTTAAACATGTCAAGTTCACATACAAAAGCCGTTTTTTTCAATGCTGCCCAGTCTGATTTTTTGGACTTCTCCGTAAGGTGGTTAGGTTGTACATCACCAAGGGTTGGTAATAACGACATGATAATCGATCGATTTCTTTTTAATTTTTATGAGTGATAAACTTTTTGTTTAGAATCATCAGTTTGTAAAGACAGAACTCTGGAAAAAAATATATAAATATATATATATATATATATATAAATATAAATATAAATATATATATAAATATATATATATATATATATATATATATATATATATATATATATATATATATATATATATATATATATATATATATATAATATATATATAATTTGTCCGTGCGATATTTTGTCTGAGATCATATGTCTTGAGATCATTTGTCCTATATATATATATATATATATATATATATATATATATATATATATATATATGTGTGTGTGTCTTAACTTTTGCAGTAAGTTAAATATATGTTTACTTTTAAAATTATGTATATCATGAATAAAAACAATTCAATGTAGTATTATATCGGCTACGAGAAAACAGTAAATATTGTGTAGTGCTTATCGAAAATTACAACATTAAAACCATGTTAATAAACGCAGCAAAAAGTTAGCTTTCACACATTAAATACACATTTTTATGTCTATTATTTTAATGACCTAGATCCAACTTAATAAGTTTTATTTAAACCTAAATCGCTATTACATTTTAAAAGATCCGCTTTCGAAATTAATGCGCAGTGTGTCGATATGTAAAGCAGTGTGAACGTTGCGACAAGGATGTAAAAAATATTCAGAGTTAGTGTTCTTAAGTGTTGCATGGAGTGGGTCACAGGCTACGTCACTTGAAGTGTTGTATTCTTAGGTGTAGTGTGTAGTAGGTCACGCGTTACGTCACTTGAAACATAAAATTTCAGTTCTCTGTCTACACAATTTAAATCAGCCCATCTGTTTGATGACATAAGTTTTGAAAAATTATTTATAAAGCACATATTCTAATAGTGACCATAAAGGCCTACTTATGTTTATTTTAACAAATCACGGAAAATCAACTGCGAGATGACACGTAACACGATAATGAAACATAACCCAGATTTTAAATTGACTTGGACAAAGACTTGTCCTAAGACAAAACGTATCCGTTATAATACTAGAACTACATAATAAATAGAAAGCAAAAGAAAAATTCAATACAAACCAATATTTCCTTTTATAAGAAAAAATTAAAACAATTGACAATGTATTGTTTTGTATAACATATATAACATATAACATATTTATCCTTAAGCTATGACTGGTTGTGTGACCCAGATATATACCTCGGGTTTCAACATAAGCCTTAGTGAACTGTCTGTGTCTCGAGGGACTATATGTGGCGTCTGATCTAGGGGGAGGACAAATGTTAGGGGGGAGTCTAACTATTGAGATGTAAACAGTGTTTAAGTTACAGGCTTTAAAAAATAAAAGTAAAGTAAGTTTCATTTCCGTTTACCGGAAATCGCTGAAAACTGATACATAACTAACAGTTTGATGTAATACTTATATTTTTGTAATTTTATGATACAGTTTAGCTCTTAGGCAGTGAATAACGGAAGGACTAACTATTTGTTTTTATCTCAACACTTTTGGAAATACCTTTTTTTTAAAATTCCCATATATGGGATTCTAGCAACAAACTGCCACATGTAAATACGTATCAAAAAATTCTTTTTTCCACGAAATATTGCCAATCACGGAAACATTAAGCTGTATACTGGGTTAGTATTGTTAGACCAATGCTAGCATTGTTTACGACCTCCTTGTACTCCCCTGTGCCCCCCGTTTTGCTGATCTTGCTACCAAGGTAGACACACTCTTCCACACCATTTACCCGTCTTCCGTCTATTGTCACTTGGGCCTCGTGGTTATTGTTAATTCTCATCACTTCTGTCTTTACTTTGTTGATCTTGAGACCTACGCGCTTAGAGATGGCTCCTAATCAGTGGCGTAGCTACCGTAAAGCTAGCGTAAGCAAGGCATAGGGGCCCAAGGAAATAGGGGCCCTTCTCCTTCATTAAAGAAAATTAAAACTTTTACATTGGAATTTTAATATTTGTTTTATAAAAATACTTTTATACTGTAGAAAAAAATCACAAGATCCAAAAAGACACCCCCCCCCCGGACCTTTCTAACTGTAGAGAAAGTGGCATTTAGTGTGGTTGATAGTTTTTTCTGATAATAACACTCGATTAATAGGATATGTAATACGTAATAGTAATAGACATTAATTGTTGTATTTATATTTTCTGCTTACATATAAAAATCTGTCTAAAACTTATAACATAAGCCAACACGTGCTTTATTAATCAAATGGCCTTTCTACAAATAACAAGAGGTCTTTTTTCCTATTCGAGAAAACGCATAGTAACTTTTTTCCAACCTTCTTTTCAAGTTTTCTCAACTTTGCATTTTTACTCAAAATTCAACATTCAATTCGCTAAGGCTTTGGAACCCCTTTTGTCATATAAGACAAAAAACGTTCCATAATCATTAAGCATTAAACTATCTACAAAATTGAGTTTACTGCAATACTTTAGGAAATTTTGATATTTATATAGCACCAACTCCTAATTTTTGTACATAGTTTTACTTAAATTATGTATTAAAAATTGAATATAAGCTATCGCAATGAGTAAACGTAGAAATGTATAGTTTGGTTTGAGAAATCTCAATGTGTCTTCATACTTTTAAAATTTCTTTTGGGAACAAATTTATAGACGTTTGAAAAGATGTTAGTTTTCACACCTTTTAGTGGTTTTCATGGCAACCAGGACTGCTAATGAAGGCTATATATTATTTTTGGCTATAGGTTAACAACTATTAACATATGAATCTATTAAACACACTGAAACATGTTAAATTATTTTAAAAAATTCTATCCGTATAGTGTATCCTTTATATAATAGCCTATTAAAATTTAAAAATTCTTTAATATAATTGAACCGGTTCTGAAGTTATCGCTTCAAAGACACACACACACACACACACACACACACACACACACACACACACACACACACACACACACCGAGACGTTCAGACAATATTTCAAAACAAAGTTCACTCTCTATGTTAGTTTAACGCCTTTTAAATCAAACTTGTGTGTGTGTCGAATGCTATTCAAACCTGGTAAACGGGTGTGGTTAATACTGTCATTATAGTTAAATTTATTTATATATGAGTTCCATTCAAACACAATTTAAAATCAGCTCCACCTTAAGATCTCATACTGTGGCTGCAACTTCGTCGAAGTCATACCTGATACTTGAGTTTTAGAAAGGTTACGGCGTGTGCTAACGTGACGTTTATGTTTTCAACAAACATGCTGTTGCTGCTTATTTTACGAAACGTCAAGGTGTTTAGCGTGCCCGTCACTATGCGTTGCCGAGGGGTTAAAAAAGTCCCCGGATGGCCCGGGAAAATTGTACCATGCCGGTGCGCGGTCTATATTTTACAGATGTAAAGTTTTCTAATCAGCTTCCCACAGTTTGATAGCGATTTGTGAACGGCGTCAAACCGCAATCGACTTTCATTTCTATATACTTTAAAAGAGAAAAAACAATCGCGCCCTTCCGGGGCCCCGACTCGACGAATATGATTTTCTTTTCAGAGAAATCTCCCCATGAGTATTCTCAACAACTCCTTAAAGTTTAATGGTCATCGAATGAATGCTGTCAAACCGTAATCGACTTTTTTTTGTATACAGTATATTGAGGAAAAATCGAGCCCTGCCGAGACGCCACCCCTGAAAATTTTAAAATTTATTTTGTTTACAGAAACCTCCCCAGGGAAATTCTCAACAACTTCCCAAAGTTTCATGGCAATCGGATGAAAGTTGTAATAATGCATAAAAGACAAACAGAGAGACAGACAAACGCATATCGATGGTCTCGGTAGCAAACCGTCTAACTCCGAAAATGTAAATTTTACAGGAGAGACAAAAAACTGGGTAAAACCTTAGTTTAGCGTCGGAAATTATCGGGTAATGTTTGTTGAGTTTCGGTTACTAGAGTTACGGTAAACCATTCTTTATTTGACCATTGAAATATAAATAAATTGAAAGTCGATTGTAGTAAATTAATGTTTTAATTTTTTAAGTTTAATTGACAAAAGGAAACAAGAATAAATAGTAGTAGATTTAAATTAGTAGATCTAAAAATAAATAAACATATATTAATATAAATATAAATAATGAAGTCAAATGTAATAATTTAATATTTTTTGCTTGCAGCGGATTTGCGACCATTAATTAATTAGATCTAGATCTAGCTAGATATCTAGCTGCTAGGCCAAGAAAAAAATCTAGATTACGAAAATAGTAAAAATGATTACAAAATGTAAAAATGATTACAAAAATAAATCTATCCAAATTTTAAACATTCTGTATAAAAATAAAAGATGACTCCAAATAAAGTATGGTTTACAGTACTTCCGGTGAATTTCGGAAGTGTGTGACAGACTTTGGCATTGTTTTACTGTTTTTTTACTGCTATTCGATTCCGGAATAATAACCGACGCTAAACTAATGTTTTACCAAAAACTGATTATTGCATTCCTGATCGTTCTAATACAATATTTTTTCATGATATGTGCGAAGAACATCTCTACCAACTCTACTGTAGCGTTTTAAAATGAGTTTTATTAATATTTACAAAATAATAACAGGTTTAAAAGATAGTCGGTTTTGCTCGGTCTAAAACTCTCGCTGCCAAACCGTCTATATGTGTGCGCGCAGTCTTGGCCGTTTTGTACCTAGAATTTCGGTCTCAGCCGCGTTCATTCGTTTTGTCCAATGAACGTGATTTAGTTATACTTATATTTTTAACTTATAATTATCGCTTCATAATATTAAAATTATAGTTTTGGGCTCATATTTTAGTTATTTGAGTTTATTCTACTTTATGGGGTCAGTTTAATTTTAGTAGAGAAAAATACAACTATAAATAACTTTTTTAAATATATAAAACATTTGACGACAATTTTTTATCCCCCTTTTTGGTCTCCATCCGCTGTCCCAGCCGCCACAGTACACATTGGAGGATCGGTCAAACAGTTACGTGTCCTCTATTTAGCTATCAAAGGTGGGTGGGGTAACGAGTCAAAGAATTCATTCAATTTTGAAGAGTTGCCTATATTTTACACTCGAGTTTGTGTAATGGATTTTATTTTTTGCGGAAGAGCGTGGTATAGCGACTGTAAAATAAAGATACTCGTACCGCAGCTACAGTGTTTTTTTACAAACCAAATATCAAGGCACAAATGCACGAAAATTTAATTTAAAAATTTCAAAAATAATTATGGTCAGCCTTGGGCCCCTAAACGGCCTGCCCCCCCCCCCCCCCCCGGCATTGCGGGGTCTGGCGGCAAGGTAGTTCCGCCCCTGCTGCTGTGCTGTAAAATTGTCTGATTGCGGCGTACGACTGCGTTTCCGATCAAAATTGTACTGACAAATATAGCGATATTCGTTTTGCACCGAGATTTTTAGCGCTTGAAATAATACGCGGTTTGTTCAAATGATTATATCTCGATAATGATTCTACAGATTTCTATACTATTTTCAGACATTATGGGGAATCATACTTTTTTTTTAATTTATGTAAAAAAAGGAAATCAAATTGTTTTGAGATAGACGGTTTGCGACCCAGATCATCGACATGGACTGCTTTTTATAAACATTGACAGATTAATTACGAATATTATATGATATATGTAATAAAATTGTATTCATTCAAATCTGCCTTACCGTAATACGCTTTGTAGTGTATGCTTTGACAATGACAAAAGACGTTCACGTCACAATTAGTTTAGCACATAGCACACTACTACTGCATACGTTACAATTGTTTTCTACGCTAGGCCTACCGTGTATGGTAAAGTAACTGGCAACTCTGTTGGAGACGGGTTAGAAAAGAAAACAATAAATCTTGTTCCAAGAAAACTATACTTAGCACCAACACAGTGAACGAACTTTCTTTTCACATTCTTTACTAAGCTGGGTAAGCCCATCTAATGTACTTCGAATATCTTGTTTCCAATCAAGCGACAAAGGAGACGGTAAAGCGAAATACTTTTTTACTTTCTCGTATATACGAAATATAGTAAAAGACTTGAAATCGGAAAAACATAATTTTACAATCTTGTCCGTATGTCTGTGTGTGTGTGTGTGTGTGTGTGTGTTTAAACACGATAACTTGAGTATCGTTACAGCTAGGTTAATGAAATTTCATATGTAAGTATTTTATAAAAGTTATTTAACTTCTTTTAAGTACAAGCCTAGATAGCTAAGAGGATAGCACATAAGGTTACCATGCGGGTGGCATGGGTTCTAGTCATGTCAGTTGTTTTTTTTTTTTTTATTTTTTTTTTAAATTTAGTTTTTTTTTTGGTTTTTAGTTGTGATTGATAATGTTGCCTTTGCCTATTGGAACTTAACGGGATACAGGACAGGTGAAGTAGAGTTCACCTGTTTCTTTGTCCTCAGTATATTACGTGGATAGTGTCGTCAGAGCCATGCTAGGCCGGAATCTTTTTTTTTAAAAGATAAAACATGTTGTCTGAGACTTGGCGGAACACTGGGCAGGTGAAGTAGAGTTGACCTATTTTTGTGACCTCAGCTTTTGAAAAGATTATGTTGTCAGACCCATGCTCAGACGAAGTCAGTGTTTTTAAATTACAAAAACATCTGAGATGAGACGCCTTTTTGAATGTGGGTTTTGGTTATTTTGTGATGATAAGTGACAGACGTGATGTCATTTATGGATGACCCCCGAAACCCACAGTTATCTAACTAGATAACTAGATACCCACGACATACCAACAAATTACCCACTACATACCCAAAACATACCCACGATATACCCACGACATACCTACTACAAATAAAGCACAGACATACCACATGACAAAGACCTACCACTATATATCCACTAGACCCACTACACACCCACTGCATGTCCTACATACCACCATTGTTTGTCTGCTACACGAGTCGGTTTAATTTTTCTCCGTTTTTTATTCACTCTTCTTTGTTGAAACTCGTTTCTACTTGCTGGGTAAAAGCGACCCGGCATAGACCTGTATTTCAAGTTATCGAGTTATCGAGTTAACACAATAGTTATAGCAGTTAATGGCACATTATGGAGAGTGGTGAACAAAATATTTTAAACAATCAATCATCTTTTTAAATTCCACGTGATGTCTGTGCAAGCAAATAAACTTTACGTCTTTTTTTTTTAAATAAAAAATGTTAATATAACAGGACATAAGAACCGGACAATTATTCACAGTGTATTTCTATATGTACGAATCCAAAATCCTATACTCAATCACCCAAGACAGCCCTTGAAAGGCTAAACAATACCTGCAGTATGATTGTGCTGCAGTGAATCCCGGGCCACTCCCAGATACAAGGAAATGAGATCGCGGACGCGCTGGCAATATCGGGGGGAAAAAACAACCAGAAATATCTCTACATAAAACAAGTTAATTAAAAAGTCTAGTGACAATTTAAGCGCAATTTCCTTGTGTTATCCATAACAATTTTAAATCGTCATCACGTTCAATAGATGCGTCATCACGTTCCATGGCTGCGTCATCACGTTCAGTAGGCGCGCAATGGTTTTTAGTCATATAACTCTATTGTTTTTAAAAAAAGTGAAAAAATGATTAGGCCTAGCGAAACAAAACCTTGTAATTGTAACTCCCTATCACTCTCATATAAATTATAAATAAATTAATAGGGTACAAAAATAACGTTTAAATTAATAAGTAAACAAGTAATAAAAAATAAACCTGGAGTGATATCCCCTAAACTTTCTCGAATATTCTTATATAAAACAACAGGGGATGGGAACTCGGGCTAAGGATATGATTTTTAATCCATTTTAAATACTTAAAGTTTTAAAAATAGAATAAAATCTCGCAGACAAAAGAATTGCACACAAAAGTGAACGCCAAATAAAAAAAAGTGCATAATAGTGCGCAATATTATTAGTACTTTAAAAATTTACATTAGTTTTTTGAGAAATCGGAAATAGCGTAAATTACTACTTCCGGTCAACGGAAATTACTCAAAATTTAACAGAAGGTAGAGAATTAGATTTTATACTTACATGTTAATTTTCATTTAACTATCTGAAATAGTACTCAAGTTATAGGCTTTTGAAAGATTCAAAGTAGAAAAAGTACCACTTCCGGTTATCGGAAATCGCGCAAAAGGTGAGACGGATCTACGATTTTGATAAAATACTTATATATGAAATTTCATCAACCTAGCTGTAACGGTACTCAAGTTATCGTGTTTACACACGGACACACACACACAGACAGACAGACACACAGACATACGGACAGAATTGCAAATCCCAGTTTTTCAGACTGGATTACGTATAAAATATCTTAATTTTGATAAATCTGGATTGATAATTTTTGCCCGATTAAAATAAGTCCTCTATACTTCGGATGTGATGAAGGACTGAGATGTAATACGGTGAAAATTGTCAAAATTTCATGTTATTTTTGTGCACGATTACAATACTTTCTGTATACTTCATATATACAAGAAAGTAAAAAAATAAACTTATAGCAAGATCTAAAAGATAGCGAAAAATAGATATCTATATATTGCTATATAGCAGGGGTCTCCAAACTTTTCAGCCCGAGGGCCGCATTAACTATCAAATATCAGTTCGGGGGCCAGAGTTTCTTTAAGGCATCTCTTCAGGGTCGTGGCGCCCCCCCCCCCCCCGAAGAACGTCTACCGCCCCTCCCCCCTCAACGAAATATAATTTATATAGAAATATAATAATTTCAAGTGTCCAGCCCCCCCCCCCCCCCCCCCCCCGAGGTCAACGTTGCTCTCAAATTGTTCTTCACGTATTTCGTTCTTGAAAATGTTTGTTCACACAGGTATGTTGTTCGAAAATTTGAAAGGTACTTTGATGCAAAAATTTTAATGTTAGGAAAGTCTTCCTTGTGCAAAAACGTATGGAAACCCATCTGCCCTTCTTTGAACGTGTCTGTAAGGAAGTCATTTTCTTGCAATTCAATGACCTCCAGCTGCAGTTCATCTTTGCAACTGGCCACATTTGCTTCAAATGGGCTTTGAAACAGTCTCACTTCTTCTGCCTTTGATTCCAAGTCAGAAAACCGCTATTGAAACTGCAGCTGGAGGTCTTTAATGATCTCGTATGTAAATGACGTGGGGAACTCAGTGGTTGCTTCAGCCGTAAAGACCATGCACTGCTGAAAGTGTGTCAAGTTGTTAGCCTGTACGTGTTCCAAAAACATGACAAGTTTGTATCTAAAGGCCTTTATGTGGAGGTATAGATCAGAAACTAGATTTCCCCCTTGCCGTTGTAGGTTCAGAAAATTTAAATGACTAGTTATGTGTGCAGCAGAGGCCAATTTCTATGTCTACTCTTCATCAGACAATAATGGCTGTGACTTGCCTTTACTATCAGGAAGTCACCTATTTCTTTTCTTAGATACTCTGCTCAGAATTTTTTCGCAAATTTAGCAATCTTACTGATGTGAAATATGGTAAATCTTGCGATTTTGTGTTTGTCTCTGAACTATCTATGGTTAGATATCCTCTCCGGTTACAGTGCCATACATGCTATGTAGGAAAGCCAGCTCTTGTGTTATGTTCATATCTTCATCTACACCTCTAATGAACACAAGCAGTTGAGAGGTGGAACAGCTGTCCAGCGACTCATCCATTGCAATTGAAAAATGGCAAAACTTGCTTGAATGTTTCGCTATTAGAGTCACTATGTTTTCACCAATGTCTGCAACACGGCGAATAATTGTATTTGCACACAAAGCTACATTTTCAAATAGTTTTGAATTTTCTGTGCAAAGTTCCTCAGCCACCTCCAACAAACATTTTTTCAGTGGATAAAAATATTGTCGCGGGCCGGATAAAATTACCTCGCGGGCCGCATCGGGCCGCGGGCCGTAGTTTGGAGACCCCTGCTTTAGACTAAACCGTCAACGGCCAAGAGCGAGAGAGAGATAGAGAGAGAGACAGAGACAGAGAGACAGAGAGAGTGAGAGAGATCACGATGTATGGACAAATCCATGGTCTTTTCGTCTAATTAGAACTAACAGAGAAACACATAAACACAAATGAAAACACTTGAACACGTACACAATAAATAAACGTACCTCTGTTGTGAAATATTTCAGTCGGTTGTGAAAATATTTCAATCTGTTGTGAAAATATTTCAGTCTGTTATCTCGCCTGGTTCAAGTCTCTTCACCAAGTTGTGCGGACGTCTGGGGATGTCGTGTGAGCTACAGTACAGGCCTGCATTTATATACTTGCGGTTTCTAACCCCCTGTACAGGTTTGTATGACTGCACACGAGGTATCTAACTTCCCGGCGGGATTCGTGGAAACGAGCTTGTCGTCTGTTGTTTCGTTTTAGATTTGTCATGTTTCGAAACTGAAACGCATTACAATTTTTAGGCTAGTTCGGGTAGGTCTGTAGCTAAAAACTAGTAGGTCAATAGCTAACTATGACATCAGCGGCCATCTTGAAAAATTAACCTATTCGTAAGAATTCCACCATTCATAAAGTATTAGATCTTTATTTTACGTCCAATAAACAATAATTTTAAAATCTTCTACCATATGTAGGGATACCAAGCTAAAATATTTATGTTCAGATCTTCAAACTAATTCATTATAAATTTTCAAAAGTTTGAGGAATTTTGTGGTCTTAAATTTAGTGATAGCCTAATCTTAACAGGGTTAAAAGATGCGCCTTAGTAATACTCTAAACTTTAAGAGCGTTAAAAGATCTGTTTTAGTAATGCTTTTATCTTAACAGAGTTAAAGGAACGTCTTAGTATAACTGTCTTAGAGCTCGAGTGTACATGTACAAACACATTTAACCCGGTGAGTCACGTACACCCCTGAACTAACAAGGCATTGTGGCATTCCTAGGGTGTGGAGTTGATTTAGTGTGGGTGTGGAGGGGAGATCGAGGAGGGGTACAGGCTAATCCCAGACCTCTCTGTTTAGCACAATAGGTTGTTAAAGGCAATCATCAATCCTTGTCAGCTTGATTTTAATTGCTTACCTGAACAAAACATATCCTGGTTTTTTCCCTTCACTTCGTTGAATCAAACAATAGGTAGGTAAGATTCACGGAATTTCGTGACAAAGCTTGAACCAGTTCGTTCTACATA